TTGTGGTGCCATTATGGCTTTTAACTAAATGTAGAGCTCCTAATTAAAAGATCCTTTGATTTGATGATTACCGTCATGTTCAAGTACTTACATTTTTAGCATTGCGTTTATAGATGTTTTGTAGTTTCGTTGCCTGTTAAAATCTAATTTAACATTAAAAGGGATAAACGTTTTTTCGTTAATGAGAAACTTAATGTGATTAAGTTTCGTGAACACAATAATTCAAGTCTCCGTTATCTAACAGATGATTCGTCTTAGATGGCCGATGCAGTTATGGCTACGAGAATAAGATCAAGATAATCCGTCTCCAATTCGAAAGCTCACTCAACCAGAACTATTATGAAACTATTCAGAATGAGTTTATAACTTCTGAATGCTGGCAAATTGTCCAGCGTAGGCGAGTTTAAAGAGAGTTCAATTGAATAAAACTGAAATTGTATATTTTGTTTGTGCCCTAAAAACGATCTGGCTTTATATTTTTAATGTGATTTTTGCAGTTTTCTCAAAATGTTTACCAACGCTTTTGTTTGAAGAGCGTAAGAGTTATATAACGTTTTGGTAATCCCTGTGTACATTTAGATAACTTTATTACACTTGCAGTTTACTTTATTATAATATTTACTTGAAAATAACCCGAAATGTCTTTCTTTTTTTCTCACGAAAAGGGTTGTTAAGCCTCTCAACAACTTTTGCGAGTGTATATCATCGTGAATTTACATAAAGAAGTCTGTGCTTTTACATGTTGCTGTAGATGTATTTCTTAGAGTGTGTTTCTTAAATTCTCTTTATAGATCGATGCCTTAAATTTCGTGAGACGCCCTAATAAGCCACTAAAAACTTAATTAAGGCTTTAATTTATCAGGATTATTACGACACCATAAAAGTGCAAAAAAGTTGAAAAGAGATCCAAGATTCGATTGTGGGTATTTATTAATCATGTGAAGGATAAGTTTTAAGTCCTAAGAAGAGAACTTTATCTAGCGCTAGTTTCAATTCGTGAAATAAGAAAATATATATTATGTCTAATTCAATATTATATTGCTAAGAAAATTTAACTTTTGTGTAGAGATCTTTATTACTTTTTACATGTAAAAAATCGAAAATAGGTCAGGTCCTTGAACCGGCATCGACAGCGTTCCGTGCTGTTCCTCTACCAATTGGGTACCGAGCATAAGACGTTGAACCTTAATAAGCAAGTGTTAAGGTTGAAATTACATAGCGCGAGAGGTGCATGTATCGATAGGTTAAAAAAATTCGACGATGAGGTCTACGACTCGGTAGCTCAATTGTTAGAGCAACAGCACGGAACGCTGACGATGCCGGTTCAAGTCCTGCGCGAGTCGAAAATTTTTTCAATTTATTTTCGATTTTTAAATTATATAGTGTCTTCATGTGCAATAGCTTGTAAAAAATAATAAAGTTTTGTGTATCTGTAATATAAGTAATACTCGTAGTAATGTTTGTCAGTCTAATTCAAACATATTTTGGCTCATTATAATTTTCACATGTCAATAAACATATTGGTTTGAAGAAATTACGCAAAAGGTGCATGTTAAGAAATGTTCACATACGTAGCTCAATTGGTAGGTATTGAGTTACGGAAAGCTGTTTGTCGTGAACTTGTCTGTGTCATAATTTGTTTCTATATTTCTTAAACGCATAGGTAAATTATTTTTAATATATATGTGTTTATTAAATGTGAAATATGTTCTTCAAATACCAATCTCCACATATTCGTCTACTCTACTTCGAACCACAGCTATGTGAAACGAGTTAACAGTAAATGCTCGCGAAAGATAAAACGTTCGAACGCCTTCTTTAGTATGCAAATACAGTTACAAGCATATTACGGGCGATGAAAACATAACAAGAGCGGAGCCGATTTTATTCCGTTGTTTTGCCTTGCCTTTGTACGCGAAGAGGAGAATTCAAATTACCTCGTGAACAGTGCGTTTTGTGTAACGCCCTCCCAACGCGATAAACAGCCAATTTGCGAAGCAGACGTCGAGGCTTCAGCCTCAGTCTTTTACGCCTTTTGAGCCAGAAAGGGCTGTGCTTAATGAACTCATTTATCCCCTTCTCCTAATTGGGCGCCCTCGTAAAACAGCTTTGATTGAATGATACATGGCTCTCGTTATATATCTATTCGTCATACTAGATTCTTTTGTTAACACTAAACGAGTCCGAGGGAGGTATTAATTTTAACGCGTTGTTTGTTAGTCAGGAACAAGATGTCTTCATTGTGCTAATGTTGTTTACTTGGGACTATGGTAAGGATTACCATAAATGGAATAGGTCGACAAAATAATGCTCTAGTTTATCATAGAGGTTATTAAATTAATTAATAAAACAATAAAAACTTGCATACGTAAGAATGGCCTCATACCGAAATCGTAAAATTTGGAATCGAAGATGAATTTGAACCTAATACAGGTAAGAAGCAGTAAGAGTAAAATTATATATCATTCTGTATTTTTAGTTTTAAACCTAAATTAATCTATTCTAATATATAAAACTGAAGAGTTTGTTTATTTGAACGCGCTAATCTCAGGAACTACGGGTTCGAATTGAAACATTGTTGTTGTCTTGATTAGAGCATTTATCGAGGAAGGCTATAGGCTATAAAACATCGCGGGGTGACTAATAGATGATAAGATACATCGGGAAATGGGAACAAAATTTTCATATCTGTGGGTTTCAGATGCGTACGCTGCGAAAATGGTTCAAGATACACAAAAAATATGTATCAGAGAATGATTCTTCTTTCAATTATCAAAAAAAAAAATGTCTGCGACGGTATAATATGTCTATCTTTTAAGATGAACTCGCAAGAACGACGGGAACAGTTTGCAAAAACAGTTCTGGATGCCCAATTTTTAAGCGGACGAAGTCGCTGAACTACCTAGTTAATAAATATCATCATTATCCGCAACAAAGATATAAAAATGTTAGTCGTCTAAGTATAGTTTTCTAATATAAATATAAGTATAATTCGAAGTATAGAACAATAACAAATGTTATTTTTTCCTATAATATTTAATAAGATATGTTCCAAGGAGACAAATAAATACTAAAACTATTGTCAGCACATAACTAAATGTAACACGAATACTAACAATGTAGTTAAACTTTAGTTTACACTAGCTTAGCAGAAGTGTTTTACTAGCGTCAGATTTGATTTGGCTAACAAAATGGCGGGCATGATGTATTCGTCTTTTTGAAGTTATGTATAAACGGGGAAAGTAGATACCTGTTTTGTATGTAAACTAAGTTACTAGTTACGGAAATCCAGACTGTAACTCAAAAGTCAGACACTATTGTGTTTTTAAAAAAAAATATTTTTTTGAGGAAGAGTAAAGTTTAAAAGCGTTAAGAAACAAATTACACAAAGCATTGCATTATAATTAAATACACGATCACTAACCAAATAGGTATCACACCAAGATCGTAAAACATTTACGCGCAACCAACTTACTCCTAATTAAAATTAATGATAACAGTATCTGTTAAAGATACATGACAATGTTTTATGTTACCATATAAAATATACGCCTGATATTATCAACACAGTATCGGATGTGACAGGGTAATGAAAATAGCGGCGTATCGGAAAGCCTTATCAAGGGAAATGGAAAAGAATTAAAGTACGTTATAATATGTCGATGTTTATGAAAATACAGGGTCATAGACAAATTATTTATTTTTTAATTTATGTAGATAATATGACAACCATTTAATTTTATGCATTCACAAGTAAAACGATTAACTAAATTACACAACTTTCCAGATATATCAAGGTGTAGATAGTTACTTAATCAACGTAATGTACATCATGTTAGAATCTCGTTAGATGATAACGTTCTATTAGGCCATAGTTAAATTGTGGCACAGATAAGCTTAGAACGGAGATAGTTCAGGTGAGCGGGTAATGAAATGACATTCTCGGTCGTATCGATCGAACACAAATATAGCGCGGCCGCTCTGGTAGAGGCTGCTACACACTGCCTAAACGCCGCTATAATATTTCATTACTTACTAGTACACGATTACCTGCAAAAATTCAGCCAGTTTTAAATCAAGTCAGGAAATTGAACACAGCTGTCTATAAGTGTATAGAAGCTTTTAATTAATTTACTAAAACATCACGCGTAGTGCCTACACTATAACATACAAAGGATGGTAACCAAATTGTATTTTATGAATGTAGACTGTTGTTGGAATATTTTCCCGCCTATTATTATATTAACCTTTATAATCTATGTCTACATACGAATATATACGGTTTGTTACCAGGCCATTAAATATTATTAAAAATATATATATATATACGGTTCTGTCCGCGTTGTCTCAATAGAGTATATACTATAGCCTGTGGATGTGGAGTTTGAAGACAAAGAATGGCTTCCCCTAGGTATCGATTATTGTGTGTTAAAATATCGATGTTTGAAATCTTTGTTTTTTTTTTTTAATATTATAATTTCTGGCTCTATACATTAATTAGAATGATTATTCTCAAATATGAGTTATTCTCAGAACAAAAACAACGCAACTCTAAGAAAATGCCTCTAGTAATATCTATTTCACTCTTACAGGCAGTCGGGCGTTAAATAAAATCGGGCTTGTAGCGAACAAAACTGGCGCATGCTCTGTGCCAAGTTGTATAATCTATAAGACTTGCCTTGTCGCTATCTGCCTTTCCGTTTGTTTATAGGTTATGTTTTCCTCGTCAATTGTCAAAATTTAAGTGAAAAATTATTCGGATGTTCAGTGAATTTGATGTTTGCTTACGTTTATATTATTGATATCTGCATCACACTGTTTTTATAAACGGAGTTCTTTTTATTATACAATTGTTCTAACCTGTCGCCTTGAATGAGATGAGATGTGAATTTGCTCATCGATACGCACTTCTCACTTGAAGGATTACCTTCGGATACCTGCGTCGAAAAATCAAGTTTGTTCATGTGGTTGTATTTTAAAACTGAAACGGCGAAATAACGATGAGTCAGGGTTCCGTGTTGAAACTATATAATTCTGTGGTAGACGATGTTATTGCCGGGGTGAGAGATTGTTTTCTCGACGACGGTGTCGACGAACAAGTGTTGCAAGAGTTGAAACAACTATGGAAATCGAAATTAGTTGCAAGCGGGGCAATGGATCCTCCACCCGATCCACCTATGCAACAAATGGCACCACCTTCTGTGTTACAAAACTTTCAGAAAACAAATGGGAGCAACTTATTACCAAAGAGGCCTGATATGGGGCCACAAACTTCAGGTCAGTCCGGCGTAGAACATGGTGGCTCAAACATAGGACATCCCCATGCGGTTCTTGATCCTAATAATAAAGTACCAGTACAACTTACACTACCAGCCCAACCTGGGGTGCCGGGGTCTCAACCACGGTCCTTTACTATTCAAATACCTGCTTCAGCGCTCAATGGAAATAAACTCCACCAAGTACTAACTGGGCCCATTATAAATGCCACTATAAATTTGCCACAACCATTAGCTGCGACAATACTGCAACAACATATAAATTCAGCATTAGCGGGACAACAGAATGATTTTGATGGTGGTGGGGGTGGACGTAGTGGTGCAGCACCTTTTTCGCTTGATGGTGCACTTGACTCTTCTGATGATGAAGGTTCCAATGTAGGAGATGGGTCAGAAGATGGTGCAGGTGATGATGACGATGATGAGGAATCTGCGGAAGAACGGGCAGAAGAGGAAGAAGAGGAAAGGGATGAATTTGGCGGAGCGGAGGAAGAACCATTAAACTCGGGTGATGATGTTTCAGATGAGGAACCTGGTGACATGTTTGACACTGACAATGTAGTAGTTTGCCAATATGACAAGATCACACGTACTAGAAATAAGTGGAAGTTTTATTTCAAAGATGGTATTATGAACCTAGGTGGCAAAGATTATGTTTTTCAAAAAGCAAATGGTGATGCCGAGTGGTGATGAGATTGATATTAATTAAATTGTGTATGTAAAGATTGATGTTGGTGTAAATTTGACTGTTGTTTGTTATGGAAAATAAATTGAGTGTGGGCCTTCAAATAATATAAATTTCAGCTGACTGACTTTGATCAAATTCTTAAAATGTATTCGAAGATATATTTTCAGTGTGGTCATTACTAAATGTATTAAATAAAGCAAAGTGTACCATATTCTTTGTTAATTTCTAAACATGTTTACACTGTCACGATAATAAATGTATGCCTTTGACAGAAATGCTATTAGATTCAGAAATATAAGATATCAGTGCCATACAAATCAGAATCATTAATTATATCGTTTTATTAAAGTACAGAATGTAATGAAGTATGCAGAGCTACCTTACATTAACATTACTATCAAATATACATGTGATGGCTCTTAAATGTATTTTTGTAAGCAAACAACAGCAGTAGAACTTAATTAGCCCTAATTTACCTATTCCTTTGAAAAAAATAAATTGTATATAATATTTACTTATTATGTCACATTATCGCTTTTCTGGTTTTTCTTTCATTGGTTCAGTGTCAGTCAATTGTTATTTGTATGACTCAAGTCAAAAAAAAAATGTGTGGCTGCAGGAATAATAAATAGAGGGATTTTTTGGTGATAATACAAAATTAATTTTATATTTTCTTAATTGTGCCCGCAATGTTTTATGTTCCTTTAAATAAATCTTAGCCGTTCCAAAGATTATTGAAGAATTCCTTTTTCCGTACTAACAAGCCCCGTTGTTTTGAGACATGTTGCTAATACAAATTTAAAGCAATTTGTGAATGACTTAGAGTACATGTTTTCATCCATATTTTTATCTAATACATTGTGTTTAAGTAAATTAGTTCATTAAATTATGCTCCGGTATGTGCTATGGTATATTTTGACTTGGTGGTGTCCTTGAGATGTTACACTGCTATGATATTTATTAAATAATTGATGGAAAACCCTTCTATTTTTTAATGCTATAAATATATATATTTCTTATGTCACCTTAGCAATAGTTTTGATATGAAATAAACACCAATACTATTAAAATTATGATACCCTTGCTTCTTAAAGTGTTTTGCTTTTTTTTATAAGTATCGGGCATAATAAGTATAAACATTATTTAAAGTAAAATGTAAAAAAGTTTATGTATGTAATTGTAATTTTTAGTACATTTAATTTACGCGCACAAATATTTCTTTTATTATTCCTTTATCTCACAAATTAATTTTATGTGATACAAGATTTAGAACTATAGAAGTGATTATTTCTAATTACCACTAGTTTTCACTATTAAGTTAAAATTTAACTAGGGCCTTTAGGTATTTCTATAATGCGAAAATTTATAAAAAGATGGAAATAAATCTATTGCATTACATCGTATTTTATTATTTTTATGATAGAGTTAATTTAATAAAAGGGGTTACTTTCCTTTCAAGTTGCAAATTACAGTTTATATGAAATTTGACAAATAACAACGACAATCTTAGTAAGAATTCTTCCGAGTAGAGTAGTTTCTTAGTATAAGGAAACAATATTTTTTTACATGTTATTGCACAATAAGACACGGGCGGGACTTGAACTTGATCCACAGCTTTTCGTGCTGCTGCTCTAACTAATTGAGCTACCGTGTCTTCTACTTCTATATCTTGTTCTTCTACTATAAATTCTTTGCCGTTTTATTATTATATAAAATATAAGAATTCTATGAACGGCGTCTTTGCTACATAAAATAATTGTTTTCTTAATGTTATTAAAAAGTTTTCACTTTTTAAACTTTTATAACATATTTGCTCGTAAAGTGGATGTAATTACACCAATTTCAATATCGTTATGTATCTCATTACGTACTTGTGCGATAATGTAATGTAAAAGGCACGTGTTCTTTTTCTTAGTAAAGAGGTTTGATGTCAAGAAAGTGGTCAATATTTTATGAATAAAATTAAGTTTGGGAAATAAAATATAACAAATAAACATTTAATTCTTTAATTTAATTAATTTTGACAATAAATTACAACCATTTATCTATAACAAAAACACAAAAATATTAATTTACTTTATTAGTAATACTGGCTGTTTTTTCCTTTGCCTAAAAAATTATTACTATTGAACCCTCGAGCTATTGAAATCCACACATTACCATTAGACTAACGAGCCTTTTAAAATATTCTTGAGCACTTTTCGCTTATAATAATATTTGAAATCTCCATGAATTTCTATCTCTAGAGGTGCTTGTTGGTACTTCGGGTAACTTTAACAAGTTCCTAATCGATTAAACTTTTGATGCAATCTCTACGACGTGGCAGGTCGTGCAGCCAATTCAATTCGCAAGACTTATGTACATACTATATATGAATGACTAGGTGTGTTAGCAACTTCGTCCGCGTAGAATAGTTTTTTTGGGCAGATATATAGACATAGAGTGTAGGGGACATTTTTGAAATTATCACTTTCAAACATACAAACACACAAACTCTTCAGCTTTATACATTATTATAGATTTACTCTGGAAAAGGGTTATATAACTATTTGTACTTCTAGGTTTACCCAAGTTAATTAAAGGAAAACTTACAGAGACTATACAATCAAAACACTTATTGACGGCTATAGTTTTCTTAAGAAAAGGATATTTAATAATTAAGGATTATAAGAAAAAAATCGTTGCAAAACAAACCATTAATATAATAGTACAGGTGAGTCTTAAAATGCCCTATTTTTTGCATTTGATTAGATACGAATTTTGCGATTTTATGTTTCCAAGAAAAATTAATGAACACTTATCGCGAGCCAAGACTTAATTGTTTAACTGTAAACAATTAAGCAACTGTGCTAGAATTATTTTTTTAATCACTTGTTCCCAAAATTTGTTTTAATACATGCAATTTCAAGGCTGTAACTCTCCTTAAAATCATAATGTCTTTATTTACAAAGTATTTTTATCAATTTAATTAGTAATTTGTGACAAATTATATTTTTATTCACATTACGAGCATATTAGATTTTGCAAATTCGGTAATTATGAAAATGTAGTGAAACAAACTTATTATACTCACCACAGGCTCTTAAAACCCTAAAACCTGTGGGATATAGGTGAATTAATATAACGATCTTTTTGCGAATTGAGTAGACTAGAGTATGTGAGTGATATAAATTGAGCAGAGGGACCTGTTGAATAGAACCCCTCTCATTCTCGCTCCGCGCCGTTTAGAGGGCGGACGGTTCCGCGTAAAATACCTTGCTTCAGGCATCTACGGGTCAGCTTTATACCTATATCCGTGTCTGCGCTTGTAATTGTGTGGGCTACGCTGAACTATATAGTGAGTGGTTCTCTTATTCCCGATACACACTTTCTCACCAGCCAAAATTATTATTTTAGTTTTATAATCATTAGTATAGTTGTGATTTCATTATAGTATTAGTGCGATACTTGTATTTTTACCGATCTTAAAGCTGTCATTTGGTTTTAGCTTACACACATTTTCTTTGTTCCAGGTCTCCAGCGGATAAAGTGAATCTAGTGATTTATGATGTCGTGCTTCGGTGATAGCGTTTTCATCCCGGATTAGTGATAGTGCAGTGTTTTAATGATGATATGAATTGGTTCTTCGTAGTTTGTACACGACGCCAAAATGCTGCCGACGAACGTGATGTCCTTTATGAAAAAGGTTAGTCGGTAGCTTAGATAATGGATTTACTACGAGTATATACTATCTGTAGCTCACGCGAGTACACATTTAAATAAAACATTTTAACGGTTTAAAAATCGAAATATATTAGTTAAACGCCGTGCCGTGGCCACGGGGAGGCTGCTGCAATTTCAAATAAATTGTAAATTTCGCGTTTAAGTGTTTCATTTAAAAAATTTGCGCGTATATTTATTCAATAGGCAATGTGACTGCGTATTGCACTCCGATATTTTCCCATTATTTTCTGGAGGGTGTGGTAAGTTGAATTGCACAGCCTACTATCATTAAACTGGTCTGATCAAGTCTACCCGAAACAAGAGTCTATTAAAAGCACTGAAGGTCTATCCAGGTCTTTAGAGCTATCTCCGAGATCATGTACTACTACAAAGCTCCCAAGTAAGGTTATATACAAAGATTAGTTCGAAATATAAAAATACTAATCCAATATTTTTAACATTTAAAGTCTTCTGTTCTTTTTTTTAAATTGGTGATTAATTGAGCAAGTGTTTTTACTATTTGATAAAAATGTAAGAATGGGTCTTTACCTTTTTTTGGCTGACCGAAGTTTATATTTAATATAGTTGTGTATTTACTTGCCTTTGTGGGTTTATAAATAAATAAAACGATTTAATACCAAAGTTCAATGTTGTATGTGGAACGTGTACGCTTCGTGCTTATTGTATTTTTAGAATGGATCGAAAACGCAACTATTAAGAAAGATTCTACCGTTGAATATACTTCTTAAAAAATGGCAACGAAAATAAGAATGAGATAAAATGCAATCTTAAACGCTTTCGCGCATTAGCTTTGCAACTGACGGCTGTTTTTATCGCCTTTATCCGGTTCAGTAAAGCTACACTTATGTTTCGAACGCTATTTTATTTCTACTCTTTTTGTAGTAACAGTTAATTTGAATTTCTGCCTTGGTGCTTTGATAAATTTGCTATGAAATTAGGTCAATATAAGTATTAAATACTATCTATAGTTTACGCGAGTAGTACACATCTAAATAAAACACTTTAACGGTTTAAAACGCGATATATTAGTTAAACTTATTTGAAAATTATTTTTAACTTCGGCCCGACATTTCGGATGCTTTGCAGCAGCCGTGGTGGAGACCCCGTCTCCCCGTGACCACGCTAAAAATAATTTTCAAACAAGTTTAACTAATATATCGCGTTTTAACCGTTAAAGTGTTCAATATAAGTATTCTATACTCTAACGGTAGCGATCAATTTTAGCAGTTTCATACAGTTTCTATGCTAATATTGGAGTTTGTTCTTACGAGCTAGTCTC